CGGACATCCCGATGAACACTTTAGTAGAGGACAAGATTTACAGCATCCCACCGGATATCAGACCGAAAATGACAAACTACAGGCTGGAAGTGATCTTTTGGGGCGTACGCGACATGAGGAAGATAAAATGTATGCCGGTACGAAGGCCGAGGATTGTAATGGAGTGCGCTGGAGTGCACGTCAAGTCGGAAGTGATGAAGAACGCCAAGAAATTCAGCAACTTCGAGGAACGGCACATTATGATTGAGCTGGTAATATCGAGATAATCCCGAGAATGGCTAATTAGCAAACCTTGTGTTGTGAATGGCTAATTAGCAAACATCTAAGCTAAATATATCATACGTGATTTAAGAACTAATCAAGATAACTTTTCGGCAAATTCTTTAAAGCGGAAACAGTTTTAATAAAAGATTAATTACTGTTTAAATATCATTTATCACAGCTTTTATCATTAATTATCTTAACAGTTAAAAATCAAAATCCGATTAAAATAAATCCACATAATGTACATTATTAATGGCGAGAAAACGGAACCGCTCTAAAACGCATTAATCATCAAGGAAATGCCGGAACTCGACATTTACTATCCGAGCATCACCATAAAGGCTTACGATTCGCGCGGATTTGGCTGTTTCAAGTATGCAGGGATCTGTATTATCCCCAACATTCACGTGTTTCTGGAGCAATTAATAACTGAAGAGGATTATGACGCGCAAATATACGAGTCGAAATTCATACATAAATTTCAACTAGCAAAACGGCAGACGTCAATAGTGTGTTAGTATACGCGTTTATTATTATTGTTATTTAAATGCGAAATGGAGATAATAAGTAGTTACTTAATTAGAAATTAAGTAATAAAGTTAAAAAGTTAACAATTTTCAACTTAACTTAGTTAATTTTAAATAAGTTTCCTTTTAAATAGCTTATACAATCATCTTATCGATTAAAATGTAATCTTAAGACGATCTTAGATATAAGATAACTGACTATAAATACGGTCGAGATATCATTTCATCATTATTTTATTAGATCATGATTCAGAAAATTTATAATATTACGCGTTTTATACTATTCTGTATTTATTAATTACACAGACTTAGGAATAGAGAGACGGAATGTAAAGTCTTAATTTAGAAGAGGGAATCAAATATGTACGGAGAGAATTGTCTTTCGCAAATTTCGTTTCGATTATTTTATAGATAGTGTCTGTGATATTCCAGCTATGTAACGCAGTAGTAAGAAATCCACACACACACACACACACACACACACACACACACACACACACACACACACACACACACACACACACACACACACACACACACACACACACACCACCACCACCACCACCACCACCACCACCACACACACACACACACACACACACAC